AGTGTACTTCAAGCCACATGATAAACACTACATAGAGAGCATCCATTTTACCTAAAACACAACTGCTACAAATCAAATATGGTTCCTAATTTTCAAAAAAAAAAAACACACAATTCTTTATTTAAAAGGCAGAGCTACCGTGAGAGAGGGAAAGATAGACTGACAGAAATCTGCTGCTTCACTTCCCAAATGGCCACAACTGCCAGGGCTGGGCCAGGCATAAGCAAGGAGCCAGGAGTTTCATCTGGGGTTCCCATGTGCCTATCAGGGGCCTAAACACATGGGTCATCTTTCATTGCTTTTCCAGGGGCACTGAGAGCAAGCTTGGCCACAGGTTGAGCAGCAGGGACACAGACACCCACCTGGAAGTCAGCACTGCAGGCAGCAGATGAACCTGAAACACCTCATCACCAGCCTCCAAATTATTAATTTTTTTTACAATAAATCATCAAAGAATTTCAACTATGGAATATTCTATTTGGATCTTCACTTAAATACTCTCCAAAATCTTGCACTCTTCCCCTACCACTGGAAGCACTGAATGGAAACATCTAAGAAACACGAAGGTATATAGAATGGATCCCGAGGTTATCACAACCTCAAAAGCAAAGCAGCAAGTAATTTTTCACTTCAGAAGGTTGAGATTTAGAGATTTGAAGAAATCTGCCACACAATTCTTATATGAATATGAATCCAGGACAGTAAATTGTATCTCAAATTATCATACTTATCAGGAGTAAAATAGTTCGATGAGTTTTGTTGTTATTTTGTTTACCACCCACTGGTCAAAGACAGCTCTGGAGTTAAATCTGTGCTTCCAACTAAGAACAGGATAGAAAGCCCACATAAGCCATTATCCAAGATACTGTCTTGTTAATCAGTTGAAAATGCCAATCTCTGATAGTCTTGTTTCCTGATCTAAGAGGAATTTAAAGGCAGACCAAGGTACAGACCTTTCCTTTCACTTCTGCAGCCCACCAGAGGCTAGTATCCTTGACCTTTTTATAACATGTTCAAGAATTTCCTTAGTACATGATTTCCTGTGACTGGCCAGGCTGGACCAGCTTCAAACTAGTACACAATGCCTATAACAGAAATCAGGGCTCCTAGCTCTTCATCCTGTAATGGGGACTGGAGAATTTAACAATAGGCCCTAACTGGCTAGGCTTCTGGTTAAAGAAAGGGAATTTCACTACAACTCTTAGTTTCGAGGAGCAAGAATATAATCGGCAGTGCATGCTATGTGAGAGTTACTTACTAACTTAAGCCAGACTGAAAACAGGAGGAAAAGCACCCTCTTCAGTACCGTGCCCCCAAATGACCCCTGTGAAACACCCATCAGATGCATCTGTGAATGCTTTAAAGATAGTGTATTAGTGTTTCCAATTCTGAATACGATAAGCCTAAATAAAAAGCTGGTTGGGACAAATTACTACTACTAAATTTTAAAATCTGCTTAGAACCTTGAAAGAATTAAACAAAAATGGCTAAAACTTTCAGTGACCCATCAATAGCTCTGAATATGTACAGAATCATTAAAACAATAATTGTTAAAAACCTAATTGCTGTTACATAACCCAAAGTTTCCAACTGGAAGGTGGAAGAAAAGTGTTCTCAAGCGACACCTACTGGCACAGGGCAGCGCATAGGGCTGACATACAAAATAAACAAGCAGATAGAAAGCAGGTTAGAAGCTTCAGGGAGTGGGAGGGGCACTAAAAAGGGAAAAGCTAAACAAACAACCTTGACACACTTCAGTGTGCCTGTGCTCAAAAGAACATCATGCTCTTTCTTGACCAAAGATTTACAAATCAGTAAAACTGAAGTCTCTCCTGATCTCAACTCGCCATCCGCATCAAGTTCCACACGCAAAGGCAAGATGTCAAATTTATTACTATTTTTTTTTGTTCTAAAGACAAAAAAAAAAAAATGGAAGTGTTAAAAAAAGCTCAGCAGGAATTACCGCATCGCTCTTCAATGTTGGTTCAAATAAAAAGCAGACACTATTTCAATTTTAGTTGTAACCCTTAAAATGCAAGCTATAACAGCTTAGGCCCTCATTCCTCACACCTTTACATAAAAATATAAAAGTGACCTGTGTTGTTATCAACTCTGAACTCCTACATGCAAAACGTCTTCAGAAACCTACTATTTGACCATGTATACTCTAATCAAACTAAGATTTTCGAATGCTCTGTTGTAACAAAATTTTAATTCCAAAGAAAGGTATTTAGCATCTTGACAAAAGCACACTGTCCTTCAATAACTAAATGAAACATGTCTTGAAAGAGTAGGAAGGAAATCTCTGATGACCTAGCCAACTCCTGTGACATCTTCCACATCAGGGACGTAACTGGAGGTAGCATGATGTAATGAATGAGTAACAGAAATCTCGGTTCTGGTCCGGTGCTGCTGGTAGTTGGGTTCCCATGGAATGAGAAACATTTCGTGAACCAGACAACCTTTTGGTACATCGATGTCCTCATTGATGTGATGACAGCAGGGGATTCCACAACCTTAGCAATTTTTTGCCAAGATTCCCAAGACTTCCCCAGTAGGAATGGTTTGTGTAAACCTCAATAACCAGACAATCCTGGGCACAGAAGTTGGCTTATTGCTTATTCCATGACAAGCAAACAACAGAAATAAGAATCTCATTTTCACATACTCATTCTCATCTGTGTAGGCCGACGGCAAGAGTCCTGGTTTTTAATCCCAATGCCTTCCACCTCACACACAGAACTTAGCGACAGGGGTCTAGCTCAATGGCTCAGCAATTAAATCCTTGCCTTGCAGGCACCACGATCCCATACGGACACTGGTTCATGTCCTAGCTGCTCCATTTCCCATCCAGCTCTGTTTGTGGCTTTGGAAGGCAGTAGAGCATGACCCAAAGCCTTGGGATCTTACACCCATTTAGAAGAAAGTTCTTGGCTCCTGGCTTCAGATCAGCTCAGCTCTGGCCACTGTGGCCGTTTGGGGAGTAAACCAGCAGATGGAAGATCGTTCTGTCTCTTCTCTCTGTAAATCTGATCTGTCTTTCCAGTGAAAATAAATAAGTCCTTTTTTAAAAACAACAAAAGTCAGTTACTAGGAAAAAAACACTGTGGAAAAAAAAAAAGAATATTTATGTCAAATGCAGAACTCCAAGAAAAACTCCCTAGGTTTTGTTTCTGATTCTCTTTATTCTGTTGTATGTGAAAAGGCCTTTCTTTGTATTACATATTGTGTGTTTCATGACAATCATGGAATCAATGTGCCAAATGCTTAAATGGGCTGCAAAGCCTCAATGTGGACAAGAGGCTACTCTAAAACGCCTGAAGAAGAAACTCAAATAAGATAATTTCCTAAAGTTCCTAACTCCCAGTTAAATGGTTTGCATATTTATTGGTATTTCTTGATACTAACTCTTATCGATAAAAGGCTATATGATGTGATTTCCTCATAGCTAATCAATCTTCTACTCAAAAGCACACAAGATAAAACAAAACAAAGGAAAGCCTCACCTGTTAACAGGTACCTAAAACTTTAATGTCCTGTTCTACAACTTTCTCTGAAGGCAGCACAAAAGGCTCTTCTCATTTAGAAATGTTACGAAGTGCAGGCCCAGCCTGAGAAGCTGTGTTTAACCCACATTTAATGACAAAGGGAGAAGGAACACAAACTACCACTGAAGGCACCTCTTCCCATTCAGAATACAAATATTAGTTCTGGAACACAAATGTGTGCACTGGATTTACTGTAGTACTTTCACCATTGATAGTCATTTAATGGCTAACAAAATACTTGAGCACTTACTATGGGATAGAGCCATACTAACTGTAGGGGATAAAAAATAAACAAGAGTTGGGCCTGGCACAATGGCTCAACTGGCTGATCCTCCACCTCCAAGCACTAGGGTCCCTTGTGGAGAATGGTCCTGTCCCAGCTGCTCCACTTCCCATGCAGCTCCCTGTTGGTGGCCTGGGAAAACAGCAGAGAATGGCCCAAAGCCTTGGGACCCTGCACGCATGTGGGAGACACAGTAGAGGCTTCTGTCTTCTGGCTTTAGATTGGCTCAGCTCTGGCTGTTGTGGCCACTTAGGGAGTGAATCAGAGGATGGAAGATCTTTCTCTGGTATCTCTTTCTCTCTGTAAATCTGCCTTCTCAATAAAAATACATAAATCTTTAAAAAGAAATGAACAAAAGTTGAGAGACAAAACTATCCACATGAAAATAAGTGAGCCAGCAAGTGCTCTAACAGAAACACAGCTCTGTGTGGCACAGCCAGAATTCTCTGATGCAGCAGGATGCGGTGCCCATGGAGCTCAGCTCAGACCACAGCATCTGCAGGGAGGTTTGCTGGTCACATTCAACACACATGTGTATTGCAGCCCCAGTATCCTCACCATGAGTCAAAGGGAACAGAAAAGAAACTGAGAACCACTGAAATATGAGACGAAACAGATTTAAAACATCTGTTCTCCCTCTTCACTGGATAAGCACAGAGGAAAAGGAAAAGGTGAAAAGGTGTTAGGAAAAATAGAGCAGCTCGTCCCCAACGTAACTACAACTCACCTCAAAAAGTAATATCTAACAGTAAAAATACTTCAGAAAATTTCCAAGAATATTCAAATCCCTCCCAACCCCTAAACCTCCAAGTGCCCTAACATCCCCCTCTGAGTTGGTCTTCGAAGGCTGCTTGGTTAGACAGGCACTTAACTTTCCCCGCCTTTGGCAGAGACTCACACTCCCCAAAATGAAGAGTATGCCCGGCCAAAATGAACTGTTCTTGCTCCAACCTTGTATTCCACTGAAAGCCAGGAGAGAGCAAAATCTCCAATTGGCTGCGCCCTGCAGGTGTGGGCAGTGCGCGGACCCCGCTCCACACCGACCCTCGGCGCGCCTGCTCCCCAGGCCCCCGAGTGCGGCCTCCGCCCCGCGCTCCCTAAGGATGCAGGAGGCGCGCGGGGAGACGGAGCGAGAAGGAGCACGGCGCCCTCCCAGCAGGGCCTCTGACCTCTCCGACTCCCGCTGCTGTAGCTCCCGGTGCCGCTGCTCGTGCTCGTGCTCGTGCCGCCGCTGCTGCTGGAGCCGCCGCCGCCGCCACCGCTGCTGCTGCTGCTGCTGCTTGCGGTGCTGAAGCCGCCGCCGCCCTTGGCATTCTTGCGCGGGGCCATTGCGGGTTCCACGGAGGCTGGCGAGGACCGCGGGGGCGCGGGGTCCTGGGGACCACTGGCGGAGCCGGGTGCTGTGGCGAGGGTGCAGGCCGGGGCTGCCGCAGCAGCAGCGCTCGTGGCCGGGCTGCAGCGCCCGAGCCTCAGCACCACCCGCCGCGCCTCCGAGGACTTTCGGCCGCGTGCAGGTTGCGCGCGCCAGGCCCTCGCGAGCGCCGAACCTGTGACTCCCAACCGAGCCGAGAGCGCGCGGCTTCCCCGCCCCTCGGCTCCGCCCCCACGCCCCGCCCACAGAAGTTGAGTGACGGCAGCACGAGCCACTCACAAGCGCCACTGTGAGGGGGCAGCGGCCTGCCGCGCCGCCCCGCCCCCTGCCTCCTCAGGGCTGCTCCGGCGCGGCGTCGCCGCCTGTGAGCTCGAGCCGCCCGCGGCGTTCCAGGCGGTCTCGGTCCCTGGGAACGTGGCAGACGTGGAAGCCGGCCGACTCTCGCGAGCGTTGGCGGGCCCGGCTGGGTCTGGAATGGGCCGAGCGCGGGGGCGGGCAACCGGAAAGTGCCGCCTCTGGGCCTGATTGGAGAGTTTGGGTCCCCTTTCCCACTGACACCAAGAAATGCCAACTGCTTCTTGCGAAAGAGCTCCCTGTTTTCTTGTCAGTATGAATATGAAGGCACTTCGGATATGGTATCAGGACTAGTTCCACGCTGCAACGACGGTCGAGGGGCCGTGCAATGTCGAAGCAGGAGTTTACCATCCATGTTTTCAAGGGAATGTCGACAGGTGAGAATGTATGTAAGACACAGAAAGCTCATTTTGTTATCCTGGACGGCGTCCACTCTCTGAAGTCACCCCATCAGGCCAAACGCCTACATCATGCTTCCTCCACATCCCCAACGCCTCAGACCCCTCCTGCGAGCTCGCATGGTGCCTAGGCCTGTTGCGGCTGCAGAATTCCAGACAGGACATTGAAGATGCCCAAGACCCTGGCTGCACCACCTCAGGGCTCCAGGTGTCACTGTCACCTTTGTGTAGCTAATCTTGAAAGCTGTGCCCTGTCAGCTTCCTTAGGTTCCTCTCTCCCTATCCCCATTCTTGTCCGTGTTTTGGAGGTTTGGGAGCACTTTCTGGAAAGTGTGTCAGGAGGGTTCCGCGGGCAGAGTGGATGCTGAGGGCATCCATTTTCTTCGCCTTTTTCAGACATGCACACCATCAGCGGGTCCCCTGGTTTACCCTCTTGTGCGCTCTCTGCTGTGATGCCTGAGGTCTTGCTTGCAAAGGGAAGAAGGCCCTCTTTCCCCTTTTTCATGTTATCAAGATGGGAATAAGGAAGGAGCAGGGACGCTGAACTTTTCTCAAACATCTCTTTTAGCTTTTGTGGCATATCATTCTTGCCCCAACACAGCCACTCATTCTTTCAAGCTCCTTTGCAACCCTTTGCCATTATCTCAACCACAATTGGGAGCCCTGGTATTTGAGACAATACTGAGCTATAATATTTAACATAATAGTAATGAGAGCTAACCTACAAAATCAACAAAGTGCTCTCAGTCCCCAAGGTATTTTAACTTTATATATATATATTTGGGGGGGAGGCAGATATACAGAAAGAAGGAGAGACATAAAGAAAGATCCTCCATTTGCTGGTTCACTCCCCAAGTGGCCACAACAGCCAGAGCTGAGCTGATCCGAAGGCAGGAGAAGCCAGGAGCTTGGAGCCTCTACTGTGTTTCCCACATGGATGCTGGGTCCCAAGGCTTTGGGCCATCCTCCACTGCTTTCCAGGCCACAAGTAGGAAGTTGGATGGGAAATGGAGCAGCCAGGACACAGACAAGCTCCCATATGGGAAGTCAGTGCATACTAGATAAGGATTTAGCCATGGAGTTGTTCACATCAGACCCATATTTTAACTCTTGAATTCTCACTAAGCCCTGTTAATTAGGTCCACGTTTTCAGGATGATGTAACTGGAGTTCTGAGAGAGCAATGTAAGATCAGGGAGCTAACAAACAGATGCAAAGGGGATATGAAATTAGCTATTTTGGCTGCGTGGCTGTGGTCCGAATCACAGCTCCTGGCAGAGGCTTCGCTTGGAGTGGAGGTTGTCCAACCACTTCCCCATCTCTTAGTAGCTGCCTGTCTGAAACCTTGTTGGTCTGGGCTGCAAAGACAGGTGTGAAACCTAAACTAGATGCTTACCAAAATCCATCTTTTAAAAAAGGTCATTAATAACTGTCTCCTAGAAGCCAGGAAGTGATGTTTCCTTGCTCCCTCATTTCCAGAAACCCAATCCAGAACCAACGACAAGGTGCACTGCTGCTACCTTAGGCAGCACTCAGCCAAAACAAATGATTTGTAAGTACAGATTAAAAGAAGTAAGTGACCACCTAGTTCATTCCTGCATCACAGAGAGCGAGCTAGAATGGCATGATTTACTCAGTGTTACAAAATAAACGTTATGAAATAAAATGAATCAACCACACTCATATTGTCAATTCTGTTGGCAGCCTGTACTTCTAGGGTTCAGTTTCAGGAACCCAAAAGGATTACAAGTGTGCAGTTTATATCTGTCAATGTTTTCTGCTTTTACATGCGGACATTGACAAACACAAAGCTTGCCTGCTGGTGAATTCCTTGACATAGGACCTTTTGTCACTGGGTGAGGGAGATTAGCAAGTCACAGTATCCTTAAAATGAAATAAGGGATCAAGTCTACCTTGTTAGCCTGTCTCCTGTCTGTGAGTACCTAGAAAGTCATGAAAGAACCTTGGGTGAAATGTTAAACAGATTGAAAGACAAGCCTTAACTGGGACAATGCATTGATATAAAAGTAATGCAGCTTTTGAAGTTGTGTTCCATAAACCTTGGTTTCACTTGGATTATAAGTAGAACCTGGAGAATAACACTTGTCTAATTTTTTTCTTTGATTTTTACCTCCTGTTGACACCTTACAACCTCTAGTCAAATGCTTTCAAAATTAGATATTCTTGGAATTATACTTTAAAAACATTGCTCCAAAGTTCTGTTTTAACTCACTTCATTTTAACTTGTTTGCAATTTTCCTAATGTGGAATTTCATTGTTACAAATAAAAACTTAATATTTCTTCATTTTTATTTACCAATGTAAATTGGACCAGAGTGGAAAACAATGCATTTGAACTGGTCACAAGTCACTTGTGTATTTTCATATTCATTGCTAGATTATGTTGCAATGAGGGCTGCATTGGTAAGTACAAGAGCACTTTTAAAGCACTGTCAGTATTCTCAAAGCAATTATTCCCATATGTGCTATATTGCAACAAGTAAGTTATTTTTCATGTTCACCAAGTAGCTTTACTCTCTATTATCATAGAAAACAATAAGCCTGGCTAGTACCTCCGTCAGAAATACACAGGATAAATTTATGCGAGCAGAAAAATGTTAAAACCTAGTGGCAAGTAGATTGAAATTGGAAATAGCAGTTGTGATGGAGGGAAATGATCTGAAAACACACTAGGTAAGAAAATGGTTGTTCATTTCATTTGAATCCTTTATATTTAGAAGTGGCCCTTGTCCTGGCTTCAGTTTCCAAGCTCCCAGCAGAAGGGCCTAAGAGAATCAACTGACTCTTCTGAAGTCTCAAACTTAATGCCAGAAAGAAACTATGCATGGAATAAATGATGAGTGTAAGAATTTATTGCATCCTAGCAATGTTTTGTGTTAAAGGAAACATCAGTATGTTTTAGAAACTAATGGGGATAAACAGCAAAATGTAGAGAAATCTCAAAAATTCAGTTTTTTTTTTTTTTGCAGTGTAGCAATTAAGTATTTCTTAAACCATATATGCTCCAAGGATCTAATGAATACAGTGTATATGTGTCCAAAATAATTGTTTCCTTTTCTTTCATAAAAACAATTATTCTAGTTGGAGATAAGTCATTGACTCAAGGAAAAGTATCCTAAAGCCACCTTTTGCAATATCCCAGTTTTATCAAATAGAATAAGTAGGCAAAAGAGATGAATTTGATTCATAATGAATAGTATTGCTACAATGTGTGAAATTGGATCAGTTACTCAACTTAAATCTTTGAAAGGCAATGGGAAATCATGCATTAGATATACCAAATTAGTTTAACTGAACCAATTTTGCACTGTCATCATCCTCACTTGAATCTATTCTGTAATTTTGTAAGCACATGACAAACATTATTGTGCCAGTATGAAAAAAAAAATTGAAGAGATTTTGTCCAAGGGCTTTCTAGTGTGAAAATGAGGAAAAACCTCCCTGTACCATGACAGCAAGATTTTATTAAGCTAAAAAAACCACTACAAATATATTTAAAATTCTATACAATTTCTTTAAGAAGTATCATATCTATTACTTTAAAATGTTTGGTATTGCATTACAGCTCTGAACATTAGCCCTGGATATTTTGTAATTTATGAAAGTGCTCCAATGCTGACTTCATCAAGCAATCAACTCATTTCTATCTTGGCAGATCCCTTTGAGTTAAACTGAGATGCTAATGCCCTAGATGTTCCCTGAAGCAACTTCTCCCAGTGCCAGGCAGCATATTAACTAGGAAAACTTAGTGAAAATGTTGTCTAAACATTTGCCTCACAAATTATATGTAATTCTGCTTTCTTTATGCCCTAAAGATGTGCTTATTTTGCTTGCTTTTTCTAGCTTTAATGCAAAAGGAGAGATAAAGAATGTAGGTATCTGTCAGGAGGAGGCATATATACTTATACACTTATACAAGCAGGTGTGTAAAAACCTAAGTGTAAAATTTCTGTCTTTTTAGACATATCATAACCCCAACTTGAGAAAATTTAAAATTTAAATAGTTCTTATATGATGAACTGCTTGCTATGTTACTCAGATTGATAGGAAAATAAAGTTACAAGCTGTTTTTGGGAAACCATGAAGAGGACTAGAGGGTGGTGCTCCATCGGCTGCCTAGGAAGCACAGAGAATGCACTTATTGTTTCCCTTCATCTTGAGGCTCCACTTTCTTTTCGTAGATTTACACTCTACTTACCTCATTTCAGAGCTGTGTTATGCTGGTTGATATTTGGATACACAATCATTTGCTACTCAACATTGTGTGTGTGTGTGTGTGTGTGTGTGTGTGTGTAAGACAGATAGTATTTTCCTGCTGTTTTTGTGATTTGCACTATGTTT